GAATAAAAGTTTTTTTGAAGATATCAAAGACAATGTTGAACAAGAAAACACTAGTGACGGTTTTGATACGCAAAATTCACATATACACGCCATTTTTAATGAAGATGACAAAGATACTGAAAATTCAACATATAATGTGCAAAGTAGCTTTAAAGAAATAATAGGTGCAAATACTGAAACTACATTCATTGAAAGAGACAGTAGCGAGACCGCATCTGAAATTCTTCAATATATTTTGGATGAATCTTCTAAACATATATTCTGTAAACAATGCAAGGAGAATGCAAAACGTGGTGCTGAAATTAATAATTTTTTAAACGAAACTTTCGTTTTAGAAAAAACCCCTGAAGATATGAACACGGCATTTGTCGAAGATACTCAGTGTTACAGTCGATGTTCTTCACCAAATAGAAAAACCTCTGTATTTCAGTATTGTAGTGTATCCCCCATTAGGAACCCGAGTGATACCTTTGTTGGGGACGATTTAAGTGTACTCTATGAAATGGATGACACCATTTTGGGTTCTCCATTTGTGAAACATGCTTCCATAATATCTATGTCACAAAATGAAAATAGCGGGGGTATTAAATACTGGATATCTTTCGATGAAAGCATTGAAGGAGAGCCGGCAAGAGAGAGACCTAAAAGACTTTTTGACGAAAATAAAATCCCGAGCTTTGTTTGTGTCGATTTGAAAACTAAGAAACGTGATAGAAAATTTGAAGCATTAGATAAAGACTCGAAGAATATAAGACGCGAAGGTGTACTTTTGCACGAATTTGACAATCCTGAATGCCATTTGGAAGACTACAGACAAACTCAAATCCACGAACAGTATTTTGACGATACGAAGACAAACTTTCATACAAATGAAAACAATTTGCAAAAGGAATGTAAATTTAAGTATTACGAAAGAAACTGCGATAGATTTTGCATTCCTGAGGAAAATTTTGACAACTTCAACATTTATGAAGATAATTTCAATTTACCTGAAACGTCACAACTTTTCCACCAATCAGAAAACAATGTTGAAAAATCTAACAAAAAATCAGCGACAACTATACAAGATAGTTTTGTAACTGCTTGCGCGTCTACAGATTACACTACTTGTGAAAGCAATAACACACATTTTGAGGAGCCACAGAAGAAGCTCTTATATGACTCCAGGATGGATCTTCATACTAAAGTCCATAGAAGACAGTATGGTAGCTGGCCACCATTCGAAGATACTCTGTTTTATAGAATTATTTCAAAGTTTAGAATGTCAGAAAGTTTTGATCCAAGTGAATTGGAAAGTTCGAAATTTGACAGCAGTTTTTAAAGCTGTTATGTAGTAGAATTGTGTCCGAAGTTCTTTTGGACCAGTATTTTCAAAAATTGTAAAGACAATTATATAGTGTCTTTTTTAAAGATGTAGTAAAAATGACAGATCGGTGTCGCCCGCTTACAAGCAGCTAGCAGGCGATAAATATTCTATCGACTATCGACTGAATGTCAATCATGCTTATGCAATAATTCGACTGAACTTGTTTCATTTGAATCATTATTGGCTCATTATTCGTCCAATTGCTGGGCAAGACTCATTTGAGTTGTCAATTTTCGTAGGTACATACATACATTGCATTTAAAACTTATTAAAAATACAAAGAGGAGAGATATTTTAAAGTTTTTCATTTTAATTTAATATAGATAATCAATTCAGCCTATATTTTATTAAAATGCATTTGAATAAAAATTTATTTCGATACTAGTAGGCCAACTGTCAAAAGAAAAATAATGCCATTAGTGATCATTAGAACGTCGTAACATGCACAATTCAGACATGTATGGCAAAATTTTACCTACTTTCACAATCTATCGATAAAACTGTCGACTACAACTACATGACTATATAAAATTTTGTGAAAACTGGCAACTTATTCCGGTCATGTTATTCCGCCCTCAAAAAAGACAATATAATATTTTTTATCTCCATAACAATCTTCTTAAGTTTAGAGGCTTCACGTAAATTTGAGATATTTTAAAAGGAAGGTAAGTAAAAATAATTTTACGCGAATAACAGAAACGGTCGGGAATGGTCGTGTCTTTTTTACTTTTCATTTTTTTTTTTTTTGAAAATAATTAGCATGTTTTTGTGTTCACTATTTTGTATGCTGTTTGTACAATTATTTTTTGTGTTATTGCGTTTTAGGGTGTTAAGTCCCTTAGGTTTGTGTAAAATAGTTTTGTAACTCAGTTGGTATTTAAATGTTATTTCTTGATTATTTAAAAAACCGCAACTTATTTAATAAACTTGTAAGTTATTAATCTGCCAGTGGCTAAGCTTGCCAGAAATATCTACCCGTCGCTGCTGTATATCAATGGCATAACGTCCATTATTAATATGTATAGAAGACATACAGTAATGTAAAAATGCTTTGTAAACAAAATTGTTAAAATCTATTGTCAATAGAGACTTACTTGTAATTTTTTGTGGTCTAATGTGTATTGGCTCTAAAAGAAGAATGTTTTTTGGGCCGCTTTTTATCGAAACAATTATTACCAATCTGAATACTTTTAAGAAAAGACAGAGAGTCCAGTTAGTTGCGTACTTGTTAGACCAGTTTGGCGAAATTGTCGACATCAAGAAGATATTCAGCTAAACAAGGACCATGGATCCTCGTCTTTCAGGCTGCGTCCTGCATGAATACACAAAATAGATAATAATAGAGCACATAAGAAGTATGATAATCAGTCCAAATAAAGTATTACAAATTCACATCTTTGGGCCGACTTATTTTCTTCAAGATATCTTGTCCCGTCTTGCATATATCTTTAAAATATTATTCCATGAGTTACAAAACTAAATAAAGGTAATGTATGCTTGAGAATTTGTTTACTTATTAAAAGTGTAATTTTAACTCTGCATTGTGTTTTGTTTTTATTTGCCCACAGAATTCATTATACAGGGTGTTTCTTTTGTTGATATTTGTTATCGTGAAAATTTTATATGGGCCCTGTCAAAGGGCGATTAGAGATTTATCTATTTCAAATGTGGTTTTCATTATCGCAAATATATATAGGTTAGTCGTGACCATTCGACCCATGAAGAGCCCGAAACATTAGTTTGAAAAAATACGCAATTTAGGTCCTTAGAAATCATTTTTCCCAATGTATTTAACATATTACAGTAGAATATAAATAATGAACTCATTACTTGAAGTCGCTTTTAAAAATTATAGCCATATTTAAAAAAAAAATCTGAATTCTGACTCATTATTATATTAGGTTACAATAAGTTTACATATAACGAAACTGCTATAAATAAAGTAATAAAACTATCTTTTAATTGAATAAAAACAAAGTGACTTAATGTTGTATTCAAAGCTGTTGTTTCAAACCAAAGCGTCTCGATGAATATTAAAATATTAATGTATGGGAGCGCTTGACGTTACAATTTTGTATAGTCCCAATTTTAAATTTAAAAGTGATTGATGATGTTTTACTCATTAGGTAACGAATAATCGCCTGGGCACATTTAACGGTTACACCCTGTATACTATGCACGGTTATTTTTAAAGAATCTGAAAATGTTATTTGTTAATGAAGTCGCTTTATAAATAGATACATCTGGGCAATTGCATGGTTTTTAAGCTTTCGGGTGGTTTCGCGAGAGCTTTGTGCTTCTTACCATGAAAGGTGAGTACGCTTTGGAACTTATATCTGTCTACAGGTTCTTTTTTATCAAATTCGTTTAAAATTTTATTTTTATGAGCTTATGTCAATGTAACAGTAGTTGAAAAAGAATGTGTTGCATTTTGCTTAGTTTTTTGATTATTTTTAGTACATAGACAATATACCTTTTAGTAAATATGTTTGTATTACTGATGTTTGATCAGGCCATGAAACTATACTTTTTTTTGCTACTATTAACTTTAATGTAACCTGTGTTTCCTTAAATAATAGAGTTGTGAATTATGACTAATGACTCATAGGTCATGACTAATGACTCATAAGTCATGTCTAATGACTCATATGTCATGACTCGTGGCTCTTGATAATTTGTATGGAATAAATTAAAACTAATTAGGAATTCGATATTTGTTCCCAGGTTAAAGTACTTTAAAGTTACGAGTAGGTTTACCCGAAGGAATTTTAAACGTGTTTTTTAAACGACCTGTATTATTTTTAACACTGACACTGTTCTAGGTGTGAAATTAACACATTCACCGGCTCAATTCGCTCCTCTTTTTGACAAACTGCCAAAATTAACATGCAAATTTTCAAAGCAACTTAGAAGTAGCAACAGATCCATACGATACAGATATCACGTGGCCATGTTACCTATGTCACTATGTTGCTATTTAATTTTGGTTATTTTTGCATTTTGCAAGGAAACCTGCATGTCGAGTAATGTGTCTCTATTAAGCTGATATATAATAAGCCTTATCACAGTGCAAAAGGCATTCATTGAATAAGAAAATTCTATAAATTATTTACACATCTTTTCTTATGGGTAATGAGCCTGAAGTACAGTCACCTTAACATGCATGCAAGTATCTTATTATTTTATGCATTTAACATTTGTCGTCATTTCAATTAATATATATTACACCGGCGTATAGCCTAAAACCTCACTTAGAAGCAGCTATCAGAATAGGCAAGAGGACAAACAACACAAACTTCAAGTAATATACATCGAGTAAATGCTACTTCCTCTAAATTCAATGTAAATTCTTCTTAATATACTACCCTACTTAAATAATTGCTAGTTTCCATAAAAAATATATATACAATAATTCCGGAATATCAGAGAGAGGTGTTATTCACTCTTTGTGCATCACTTCCTTGGAAGTTTAGACAAATATATTTACCCTATTCTGATCTTTGCTTATCAGAAATCCTGACCAACAAATAGGACGCATATTGGTTGACACAAATTATTTCACAATTAGTAGTTATTATCGAAATTATCAATTGAGTATGAAAATGTATTAATATGTCTTTTACTTTATGTCCAGGCGAGCATACAGTGAATGGTGATCATTCTGACGCGCATCAGAGCACATTCTCCCACAGCAGTAAAGAGGTAAGACTTTTGAACATCTCAATTCTATACAATATATGGAACAACACTAATAAAACCTATAACACCAACAATAACATTAACTATAACACCAACAATAACATCAACTATAACACCAACAATAACATCAACTATAACACGAACAATAACATCAACTATAACACCAACTATAACGCCCAACTATATAGGTTTCAGAAGAGCTTCCTTTCACATACAAGTAGGTTGTGGAATGAACTCCTTGTTGGGGTTTTTCCGCAGGAATACGGCACGGAGTCCTTCAAAAGGGATTTGAGAAGGGTTCTAAAGGGTTGGCAACGCGCTCGTGACGCCTCTAATGTTGTAGGCGTTCAGAGGCGACGGTGACCGCTTTCCATCAGGCGAGCCGTTTGTTTGCTGCCTACATAATATAAAAAATAAAAATAAAGACCTTAACGCCAACTATAACATCAAGTATAACATCAACAATAACAACACGTATTGCATGCATTCATAACGTGTTGTACCATATCCCTGGAATTAAAGTACATCATATTTCGTTCAGGGCTCTCCTTCCAAGGAAGTATCGACAGAGGACTCTCCGAAGAAGGACAAGAAGAAGAAGAAGGGCCTCCGGACGCCTTCGTTCCTCAAGAAGAAGAAAGAGAAGAAGAAGTCGTCCACGCCACAGCCCGCCTAGAGGTAAAATATTTTGTGACTCCTTTACAAAAAAATTAATTGTTGTAATATTTTTTTGGCAAAAAGAGAAAATAATTATTGTGAGATTGTTTTCTCGCTGCAGACTTGACCATATCTTATCGGAGCAGCAGGTCGATTCAGAACTTTACGATAACTCTATCGATTTGATATCGTACGATTTTTATTCACAATAACCGAATCGAACGTCAAACTGTCGTATTCGAAACCTAACCGAAATGACGTCACATCCGTACGATTACTCGAACTTCTCGACCGGAATAAGCTACAAACGTTATTCAGAACACAGTTTACGAATGAAAGTTTCCGAACGTCCTATTGTTTACAAAGCAAGAATGTAATATGGAAATCTCTTTTTTAAATAAAGTCTGGATTTTGTTCAATTTTATTAATTTATTTTAATACCAGGCTAATGCATTTCTATATTTTCGGCCTTTAAAGTCTTCAAAATGTATATGAAAGGATTTTCATTTTTCTTATAATCTATTTCACCGTCAAACTCCGTAAACGCTGTTGGATAACGATATCCAATCCGAGTCCAAATCGATCGTTTAACTCGAATGTTCTGAATAGTTCGGAAAGTTCGTTTCGAGAACGATATCCATCGAACGATTCGGTTAAAATATCGATGAGACTGAATCGGGGTCCAGACACAAAACCTTTTAGAGAACGTCCTTTTTCCGGAAAGACAATGTTGTTGTTGTGTTTGGACTGTCTTTTGCTTTACGCGGTTATCCGGATTTCCGTTTTGACTAAACCTTATGTTAACGAAACTTTAGAATTAACCGATAACTCGCAGCCGTAATTATTATTTCAGTATTCTCTCGTATTATCTTTTCTTTTTACACTACTTTTATTTATGTATATTATCTTTATATTTGTTTTCTTCCTTTCTGTATCCTTTATAAATGTATAATACCGACAAACTCTGTAAACGCTGTTGGATAACGATATCGTTTCCGAACGTTTAACTCGAATGTTCTGAATAGCTCGGAAAGCGCCCTTCGATTCGTGAACGATATCCAATCGACTCGGGGTGCTGGACAGAGATATTGCGCCCTGAATGAGACCTCTATTGAGGGGAGGGTAAGGTACCTTTGTAACAAAAAAGAATCGTCGAAATCGGTTCATAAATGACAGAGTAACTGTGTAACAAAATACACACAAAAAATATAAAGCCGAATTGTGAACTTATTTTTTTAACAATATCAAGTGACGGGACGAACAAGTCGTGCGCCTGATGGTAAGCTACACGCCTGTCCATAACAGTTGCAGTGCCACTCACAGCTTCAAAACGCAAAGATCTGAGTAGTACTCCCACTGCGCTCTGCCCTGAGACATAAGTTGACAAGTCCCATGTGCCCGTAATTTCACCTGCACCCTTATTTTTCAAAACCGGAACGCAATAATGCTTACATTCAGTGTTGGGTGTGGAGTGGGGTTGTGTCACGGGTTGGTTGGCATGCCAAGTATTCCCGGCATGCCACTAACGACGGAGTGGGGACGGTAAAGTCGTATTTGGGGGTGCTCATTACGAATATAGAATTTATTTCTAAATCCAAGATGGCGGACACGACTTTTCAAGTAAATGTAACATGGGTATCATTTTCGCCGTATTTGGGGGTGCTCATTACGAATATGGCACTCATTTCTGAATACAAGATGGTGGGCACGACTTTTCAAATAATGGCAAGTTGGGTATCGTTTTCGAGGTATTTGGAGGTGCTCTTTACGAATATAGCATTTATTTCTTAGTCCAAGATGGCGGACACTACTTTTCAAGTAAATGCAATATGGGTATCATTTTCGAGGTATTTCGAGGTGCTCATTACGAATATGGCACTCAATTCTAAATCCAAGATGGCGGGCACGATTTTTCAAACAATGGCAAGTTGGGTATCGTTTTCGAGGTATTTGGGGGTAATCATTACGAATATAGCACTCATTTCTAAATCCAAGATGGCGGACACGATTTTTCAAATATTGGCAAGTTGGGTATCGTTTTCGAGGTATTTGGGGGTGCTCATTACAAATATAGTATTTATTTCTTAGTCCAAGATGGCGGACACGACTTTTCAAGTAAATGCAATATGGGTATCATTATCGAGGTATTTCGGGGTGCTCATTACGAATATGGCACTCATTTCTAAATCCAAGATGGCGGGCACGATTTTTTCAAACAATGGCAAGTTGGTTATCGTTTTCGAGGTATTTTGGGGTGCTCATTACGAATATGGCACTCATTTCTAAATCCAAGATGGCGGATACGATTTTGAGTGAGTGGGTGGGTGAGGGGGTGGGTTAGGTGGTGGGTCAGATGGTGGGTTAGGGGGTCGGTTGGGGGTCGGTCAGTGGGTCGCTTAGGGGGTAGGGGTAATGACACTTTTATTCGGTAGTTTCGGTTTTAATTGTTAGTTTCAATTGTTTCTTCGAATAACTAAAAAAATTAATTGCAATTAATTAAATAGCAATTAAAATCAATTCAACTGCAATTGATTTCAATTGAATTGATTTTTTAATCTGATTGAATTTGTTATTGAAATTTAATTGATTAACGCCCAACACTGCTTACATTACTTCTCTGGACGAACTTTTTCACAAGGGGCGCTACAGCTACCTCCTCCTTTTTTGAAGTCGGTTAACAAATGTAAAACTTACCTTAAACTGCAACATTTTACACCTTGTGAATGGTGTAATTTGTGATTGTCGATGCGTGTGTCCGCAGCACCCGCGACACAGAGTTTATTATTTAAAACAAAAGAAGCTTTGTTTCAAAAGACATTCTGTCAGTTGCGATTATAGATTTGCCTTTGAATGACTTGTTTGCCTATTTAAAAATATTTCTCTTTGTTCCAGATAAACCTACAAATCTACACTGCCATCTTCGCTTTCATTACGTATAACTGTAATCGTGAGGTTCTACCGCTTTCTATTATTATGTATATAAAATTAAAAACACCGAACGATCGCTCCACGCTTTGACAGTAGAATAGCACACATTGATATATATATACATATACAGGGTTATTTTTAAATGACTAATAACCTCGCAGGACTACATTACTAACATTATAACGAGCAACTTTTGTTCTACGACTTTTTACAAAACGCAATAAATTTACCGAAAACAAACTTTTAAATTTTTTCTGTGCTATCTGACATGTTTTAGATCTGTATAGTAGTAATTGAACATATGTATAGCAACGCCTCCCGGCCGCGTGCTGTTGTCGGTAGGAATTCCCGCGCTTTTTACGCAAGGGCTAAATAATACCTACAAATAATACAATTTATTTAACAATTATTATTACGAAATGACCTACATCTTTTACGTCGAATAGCTAGCACAATTCTTGTGATTAATACCTAGAAGTTAATTAATAGCTTGTTTCCACGTTTAACTCGCTTGCTGGGTTTGTACGAATGGCAGCACATCGAGCTAAATATTGGCGGAGCTAGTTCCGATATACTACGATATTCGAACACAAACCTGTAACATGATGTGCTGTTGACAATACACTGAATCCACAATCCTGGACCTAGGGTAAAATTGTCCGTGATCTCTTAATCGCTGTGTGGCAGCTAACATTGTAACTTGGCTTGGTGTAAGTACTGTAGGAAATCGTCTTCCATATTCGCGGCAGGCTTCCGACACATTGTCACCACATATAGCAAGTAACTGCACCATTTCCGTATGTATACTCTACACTTGAATAGCGATACGTCATCGTGCTAACAATTAGAGTTACAAAACAATAAATAACATGTGCATTTACGACGCGAATGCATCAAAGTGACTGACCGCCGCCGACGCCCCGCGCCCGTAGGTACGTTCCCTCCCCCCGCCCATTCCCTTTCGTGCATTTCGCATCGGATGATTTGTTTACATAGGGCATCGACCTCATAGCCCAATTATCGTGTTCTTTTCTTACCGCATAGTGTTAATAATCGTTTAGAGCATACGATTAAATATTTTTATTTTTGTATGAAAGTAAAATCTGACGAATTATTAAAAGTCATGGAACAAAAGTTGTAGTATATGATGTTAGTAATGTAGTCCTGCGAGGTTATTAGTCATTTAAAAATAACCCTGTATATAGTGAAAATTGACATGAGTTGGTGTACGAGAAATTATCAGGGCACCGAAAAGCTAAAAAAATTACGTGATGCTGAATATACGGAATATAAATATTTAATTATTTTTTTGTGAAATTACTCCACAACTTAGTTTTATTAATACAAAGATTGAACACTAAGAATAATTCCTTCGATCCGTTAGATTCGAACCAGCACCTTCAGCATACCGTGCCTGATACGGTACGGTATTTTTCTTACCGTTCCATTTTTGTATTGATAATTAAATCCAAGGGAAATTGACAGAGTATGTCGAAATTGATGTGATTTAGTGAAAATACGTAACAAAAAATATATAGTCTGTCTTTTTTGAAGACGGAGTAAAATGACAGTCCACTGCGCAAAAGTATTGCCCACTTGCAAGCAGCTAGTGATTGCAGTTGATAAATGTTATATCGACTATCGATTTTCTTTTAAATCGCATTTGTATTAAAAATACAAATAGGAGACATATTTTAAAATTTTTAATTTTAATTTAATCGTTAGTTTAAAATGTGTATGACTAAAAATTGATTTACTAATACACCAACTGTCGAAATAAGAATAAAGAATACATTAACGTAATAAAGAATACAATAATTAGTAATTATTTGAACGTTGTAACATTCACAAGTCATTTTTAGGCAAAAAAAGTTTTGCCTACTTTCACAATCTATCGATAAAACTGTCGACAACTACTACATGACTATTTGAAATTTTACGAAAACTGGCAACTCTGCAAATGTCATTGTACTCGCATCTTCAAAAAAGACAGAGTTTCAATGTAATAGGATTGCTACACATGATCTAAAATCGCGTATTTATATTTTTAAACAAACCAATATTCGCCTCTCTTCACAGTTCCCATAATTTTGAGTTCTAACGCTGTTCAGTCATCCGTAACCCATAGAATACTTGAAAATTGTTCAAAGCGTGAAGGGATATGACGTTTTTAAAATAATATCTAAGGTTATTTTTCAATTAGGGCGTTCAGCTCTTAGTTTACTTTATAATAGACCTTAGATTCGTATAAGGTTTTGAAATAGATAGCGTTTAAATACGTACATCTGAAAAGAAGAGGTTTGATTAATAACACTGTGAGAAAGAGAGACAAAACGTTATAGAATGCTGCGGAAGTGACAAAGACAGTGTTATGTCCTGTTTCAGACAATATACTTTATGCGTTTAAACAATCTCTGTAAAGGTTCAAGGAAATTTACTACATTGAAACTAGTACATACACTAACACAATTTTTAAGAACAAATTTCTTCTTTCGCCATCGTAATAAAAATAATCGATCAGCGTACAGAAAGAGATCGATCAACGTAAAAAAAGAGATCGGTTACTGTAAAGCAAGAGATCGGTTGTCGTAAAGAAAGAGATAGATCAACGTTGTAACATACAACATATTCAATTAAAATGGCCGTTTACGAGGTTTAAAACTGTCGTTTAACAAACATTTTGTACGGCTTGTTATCTATTTCAAAACCTTATATTTTTTAATATACAAGTATGAACAATGTTTTTCTCCGTTAGAGGGCGCTAGTGTCAGCTCAAAAGAAGGGTTATAAAGGGTCTGTAATTAATTAAGTCTATAGCAGAAATTAAACTGTTGATTGCGAAAAATTAAAAATGCATTGTGCCTTACCAGGGCGATGTAATTTTAAGCGCGTACGCAATTCTGTCGCACAATTTGCGCTATATTTGTTCTTCGCAAGGCATCAAGGTATAGAGGTACAATACCTACCCAATTTGACAACGAATTCTGACAAGACTAACGGGGTGAATAGGGACTTCAGGGTGAATAGAGATTCGCATTTAATGTGTACAATGATGACAATGTCTACTATTATTAGAGAGTTGTAACGTTTATAGCACGTTATCGTTAAGTCTTTTATTCTTAATAATAATATTGATAATAAGAAGTATAGTTCTATTCACCCCTATGTATCTATTCATCTCGTTTTATACCTAAAGATCCATCGTAACTTAAATTACTTACGTCACCTTTATATCATTTCTTTCTAAGTTGTCGGTGCTTATTATAAAGATAACTTTAAAACTTGTAAGTTGGTAGCACTATGAGAGATATGTCGATTTATGTCACTGTCAAAGTTAATGTCAAGTTTATTGCAAGTTCCCACCTTTTGGCATCTAAAGATTGTGTAGGTCTTGGAAAAAATAAGTACTAGAATATCAACGCAAGTGAAACAATTTAGGTAATGGTAATTTATTAAAACACACAATATTGACTTGTGTTCGATAGTGCAGTGGATTCTCGATAATCCGAACTTCTGTAATCCGACACCATCTGCTTAATCCGAAAAAATTTTACGTGTCGTTGGAACAGCTGAATTGAATTTTAAAACTTAAACTTAATTAAAATCATAATTGAAGTTTAAAACAGGACGTAAATATTTTAATACAGTCGTTGAAACCTAAAACATGCTCCCTGATTTTTTTTCCAAAATGGCGCTTTCGCCCTTTCTACAAAAGACCGATGATATATGGCTGCACCAACGATCAATAAACCCAGTGCTGGGGATGAGGTCACGCAAATGACGCGACTGCGATTCGGGACGGTACGGACAGCTTTGTGCGTGCGAGTTTTAATACATATACGTGTAATGCAGTCCGCCTATGATAATGCCTGCACGTCACTCGGAGCGTACATAAGGTTGTCACATTATTATTTTAATTGTACCTACAGAGCTTGTGTTATCTAGCTGGATAATTCTCGAAAATTCAGTCAGCTGTGTGTACCGCGACAGTCCGGTGATATTATCATTTCGTTTTTCCGGTTCAGTGAAAATTTTATCTGTGAAAATTTAATGTAATACTGAGTCGGAAATACGGAATATCAGTGCCACAAAGGGTAAGTAATTTTAAAACTTTTTTCGTTAGAGAAAATTTTAAATTTTCCAAGAACTAATGTCTCTTTGATGTCAAATAAATGTCCATTGTCAAACGATGCGAATAGAATTTTAAAGAGTGCATAAAGTTTGTTACTTATTTTTTCCAAGAAAACGGCTGCTATATCACGTTTTCATAGATGGCGCTTCAAAAGTGGGGCAGTTCGCGTTCGACCCGCGTTAGGTATAGGATATAAAATGCTATTAAAACGTAGATTCTTTATTTAAAAATTTGACATTTTTCGTTCTTTTTTCCTTATGAATTTGACTTGCCAGTTCAATTTATGATTTTCCTTTTTTTGTTATACAATTTGATCGAGAAATATTACACCTTCGTTTTCATATTGCGAATTCAAACCCTCTGTAAACGACGATAGGTCTATAATTTTATTTGATAATTTTGACGAATTTATTACCTGTTTATCAAAATACGTATAATCAATACGTAATGTTTTTATCACTTATGAAATATTATTTCCTAAATTCTATTGTAACTATTAAGCCAATTGTAAAGGTATTTTATGATTATAAATGAATTATGAATTATCAAGTTGCGGTTTATATGAATTTAAATAAAATCTATTTATAGACAAAAGTATTGATTTGTTTTTTATTTTAATTAAGGTGTTACTTATGAAAAAATCAAATGTTTTTAGTGTTTCTTAAAGAGTAAAGAAGCTTTTGAAGAATTAACCACCTTTAATAGTTTTATGAACACGTATTTTATATAGTTAAATTTTATTGTAAAACTACATGTGTACTTAGGAAGAGACTCGATCAATTTGTATAATAAAATTATCTCGATCATTTTGTATAATAATATGTTCTACTTATTATTGGTATATTCTTTTGCAATTTTAAACAGTGAATCCAGCATATAATGCTTTTCTGGGGGCCATTGTTTTAATTTGTAGCCCCGACGCCATTTTGTGCTTTCATAAATGTACTAAAAATTGTTGTATAAAAATCATTTTGAATACTTTATAACGA